TCAATAAACTGTGTGACGCAACGTCACTAGTGCGTTGGACCGACGGAGAGCACCGATACCGCGGCACGCTCTACCGTACTCTCTCGCCCGCACACCTCCTCTCATAGACCACTGAAATTCCTCAGCACGCGTCGACACCGACGGAGAGCACCGATACTGCGGCTCGCTCTATCGCTCTCGCTCTCTCCCGTTCGCCTGCTCCGACCATCCTCGGCATCGTTCGGTACGCGTCGACACCGACGGAGAGCACCGATACCGCAGCTCGCTCTACCGCTCTCGTTTATGTATGATGTTCATATTCCCCAAATAAATATCATTTTTAACTAATTTGTTTAAGTGACACGTTCCTTTTAAAGATTTAGCTCTCGAGTATAAATCCCTAAGACCGTTATTTATTATTCATTTCATATCGTTAAATACGATTTTTCTCACAGGATACCGATTTCTATTACAGTATCACAAAATAATTGCAAATATGAAACTTCTTTACCTCTTCTTGAACATTCTAATTTCATAGCCCTAAACTGGGTACCTGAAAGTATTTCATTGAATTTGTGTAAAAGACTTTACTACTTTCTAAAAGACTCCGTGTGATATTTGATAGCCTAAAAAACAATGTGCCGATACAGGGTTTCGATTTAATAAATATGCCACAGTTACATCTGGTTACATCACAGACGAGGTATTCGTATAGATTCTAGATGTAACTGTCAATAAAAATTTCATTGTCATTCAATTTTTCATTACAATCCCACATATTGATTTTATACCAGGACAATAATTAATTTTTTATCCTAGAACTGTTACGTTTATAGCTTAAGAATCTTTAAGAATCGCAAATAGAATTTTCAGCAAAAATATAGTCAATAAATATCAAAATTGTTTCTTAAATCTCCTAAAAGTATCTAAAACAGATCTGACAAGAATTATATATTAATCAAATGTTTAATAAAATCTGATAGACGCGGAAAAAAAAATAATGTCGCTATCTTGCAACGAGACAAATAAAGTAAACGCCCGTAAAAACCAGAAAAGAAACCATGCCACTCTGCAACTAAAAATTCAAAATTATTACCGCTAATTCCAAACAATTTATTACAATCCCTTGTATCGACACAGAGCAGGTATAAGAATTTTACAAAAGTACATAATTAATGTGTCTTATGTCACTGGATGTAGCGGAATATCGTGTTTAGTTAACATATACACATAAAATACATTAAATGTATGCGTATATTGTTCAAACTGTACTTTAATGCTATCATACTGTTTATTATAATTCATATAATTGTTTGTGCTTTAATGAATTTAAATCAGCAATTAAAATTAATTCTTTGTAAGTGGAAAATACCTAAAAATTTGTAGCTCTGCCAACAAATACAAAAGTACAATTTTTTCTAACATACTTTTATTAGTAACATATGAATATGCTTTTATGAAAAGCACTTTACATTAAAGTTTCCTTTAGCACAGACAATAAAAATAAACTGTAATATAGTAAAAATGTAGGAATAAAATAAATAGTTGTTCTTACTTATAACTCACTATATAATCACCTTTGGTTCACTAAATAATTTGTGTCCAAAATGAATATCAAGACTAACAGTATTATACATCAGTTAAATTTCTACTTATTGAGCTGATTCTTTCATATATTTTTGTACAGTTTCAGAAAGGCTAGTTGCTCCATTAGTTGCATGAGTAGGTAAGTTAGAAATAAATTTCATGGATTTCAAAACACCCTCGTTCCAATATTGTTTCGCACAGTTTGTTATACAGGTCACACTTGGTAGCCGATTATACTGAAATAAAAATGGTCCAGTGAGTTTCCTGAATTATATATATTATGTTTGAAATTAATTAAAACAAGAAATATGAAAAAGTACTAAAAGTTATTACTTAAAGAAAATAATATTACATGTGTAATGTCAAAATACGAAATATTATGAAACAGTAAATTATGTATTATATTACCTCATCTATCACTTCTTTAGGTAAATTGTGTTTAACGTATGGAGCAACATTGGTATATAATTTTCCGTATAATTTAGCGGTATCTTCTGGTTTTGACCACAAACCTTCCTGACAGGTGTAATACACAATACCACCGACAATACTGGTTTTTATCGTAAACCTAAGGATATAACCTTTCAATTAAATTACAATTCCACTGCGTATATGAAACATCATGCAAATACCATAACCGTTCCACATCCTTAAATTTTAGCTCACGTACTAACCGGATTAAACCCATCGTATAACATAAATTACTTTGAAACGACGGTGTTAGTTCCCTTTGGTTCCCTTAGTTCCTCCGTCTTTTGTCATACAAAAATCTGAAAATTACGTAAGCTGTATAAACCCTGTAAATCTAGTGATTTCCGGTTGTATTTAAAATACTTTTGACTTAACGCTTTATACATTTTGGCTTTAATGTAGTCTTTATGTGTGTATAAATATTTAAAAATTTATTAAATGCTATAAACTGATTTTAACCGTGAACATTTTCATAAATAAGTTTAATTTATATTATTATGACTCACGTCATAAGTACTTTCTACCCGTGCAATGTATTTAGACAAGTTTCAAAACAGTTTGATAGGGCCACTTTGTTTTTCTACATTTCTATAATTTATACTTTATGCTTAATATGTGTTCATTATAACTGCGCATTTTGACATCAGTTTTCTTTTTAAGTCTTGAATAATTAACGTTATTACATTAAAAAAAAATGTTAACCTGTATGCAATATATGTAATGCATATATCATATATGTGCAATAATATTGTATAATGTGGCCCTCAGAGTATATACAAATAAAGGTATTTATATTCAGTATTTTTACTTTTTTTCCTTAGTTATTTGTAATGATAATAACAAATAAAATCACCTTGATTTTTTAGCATATAGAAGATTTGTTGGTTTGTGGTATATGCTATGAATACATGGAAACTTCTGTTATAACATCATGCTCTCATAATTGTAAGAAAAAATTTCACTTGTTTTTAATTTCATAATGTTAATAGAATGCTATATTTAATTATCTTTATGTTATGTTTCAGATTGTTCTTTATGTATAAGAAAATATTTACATTATAAAACACAATGTCCTGCTTGTTTTGCGGAAACTTTTGAGAAGGATTTACGGAAAAATAAAGTTTTGGATGAAATTATAGCACAATTTTTGCAAGTTAAAGATAAGCTAAAGAAATGTCTACTAGGACCACTACAATTTTTACCAGGCAATACAGGTGATGGTATTGTGAGCACACCAAAATCAATTCGTGCAAACAAAAAATCACCAACAATTAAACGAGAAAATATACTTGTTAATAAAAATTTAATACCTAAAAATACTGCATCACCTTCTACGAATGTACAAGATGATTTATCAAGTCCAAGTACTAGTGGCAAAAATAACATACCATTGATGTTTACACCTAAAAGTGGAAAGCGACCAAATGCAATAAACACAGAAGATACAAAGGTTGTAATATGTCCAGTATGTAAAGTTACTGTTTCAGAAGTGAATATAAATAGACATTTGGATGATTGCTTAAAAAGGGAAGCAAGGAAAGATCATCCACAAATAAAGTAAATATCATAACACTATAATGTGTAATTTATGTTTGTACTGTATCATTGAAATGTTTATATAAAAGAGTATGATCACTGTGTACCTTTACAGAGTAGAATCGAAACGTCAACCACTGCCAAAGTTAGTATTTACTTTAATGAAAGATGCTGTGATGCGGAAAAAGTTAAAAGAATTTGGTTTGTCATCACAAGGAGATCGTAAGGCTATGGAGGCTCGATTGCAAAGATATATTGTTCTTTATAACGCAGAATGTGACAAGTCAAATCCAAGAACAGTTTCAGAGTTAGTTAAACAATGTGAAGATGAAGAAAATCTTGAGAAAAGAATGAATAAAACCTCCTTATTTATAAATGTAATTTATTCATTTATTTTTATATTTAAGTACATTTAACATATTACTGAGTTATTTTATAGTCATTTTAATTCATTATATAAAATCATTAATTGTTTTAGAAATTACAAGTCAATAGAAATACAGAGCAAAACATTATAGATGATGAGAGAAAGAAATATTGTAAGTATTTATTCGTATCTTTCAATTGATTATAGCGAACATAATATTTTAGTATTTTTTTTCTTATTAGTGGAAGCACATAAGGATAGTTTTCAAAGTTTAATTGAAAAAATCAAAAACACTACGCCTAAAAAAAAATTGTCTGTAAGACGTAGTTTGATAAATGAAAGTTTTGAAGGTAACAAGAGCATAGCAAACAAAAATGAAGCAACAACTAAAAGTTCTGATGATTCAGTAAGTGACGTTGATGTAGATGATTTGCCATCTATGAATTCAGCTGTATATATACAAGATTCTGATTCAGACACTGCTTGCCCATTACAAATGTATTCGAGCACTGATCCGAAGAAATTTCTTAATGCAGAATTGTCTCCTTCTAACAATAATGTTCCAAACACTAACGGTGAATCAAATTATGAAGAGCGTGTTCGTGAAAAAGTATTCAACACATCCAACCATTCATACATACAAACAGGAAAGGATGATATTAATTCAGACACATTGAGTAATATTTCTGTATCTAATAGAGAAATGCATTCCATATTGGATACCACTTTTGGCAACAATATGGTGAAGAATGATTCTAAGAAAGTATGTAATGTTTCAAAGTATCAAATGTTATTACAAAGAAAGCAAAAACTACCTCTGAATGATAAAATGAGAAGCATGGACTCTGTTACTACTAGCAGAGGTGACATGGAATCCAACAGTGTTTCAGATCGAGACGAGGGAAAAAGTGAGAAGTCAGCATCTGTTTTACAAGATATTCTTTGTGACTTATCGAGTAACGATAGCATTGACAGTAAATTTAATAGAGGTATGTAATCCAGATTTATCACATTAATGATTAAAATATTAAAATACACAGAGTCATATTTACAGGTAAATCACACCTTATTAATCATGGGGGTTTGAACAATAGTTTATTAAATTTATCAGATCTGGAGAAAGAAAACAGAAGTTCATCTCCTGAATGTAGTGGTAGTCGTTCGTTCCGAAAGAGAAGTCGCGATTTCATACAAAATGATAATAAAACCAGTTTTGGTATGAAGAAGAAAATTAAAAAATCTTCCCAATCATATCTTAGTGAGACTGATGAATCCAATGAAGAATCTGTAACTACGTTGAACGATGATGAAGAGAGGCGTTTGCAAACTAAACCACGATTGCGAAATCGAATTTCAAATACCACGGTTACGGAGGGTACAACAGCCTTAAGAAAGTCTGCTCGAATTAAAATTAAGAGTAATATATAAAGAACTTAAAGTAATATATTTTGACAATTGCTTGTGGATTTTTACTCTAATTATGTCAAGACTGTTTTGGAAAATAGCTTGTGGCTTTGCACTAAAAAATTTATATGTAAATAGATCAATCAAAGTCATAATATTATGATAATATAATTTGGTAATTATGTATATGCTGTTTTACACAGTTAATTTATTATTATAACCTATTATTCCCATTTTGTTAGGAATAATTCCAAATGATCTGCACCAATTTTTTAAATATTTTATAATGCAAAAAATACACACTAAGGTTTGGCTACTGGTGTCTGAATCTTTAAGAGGTGATTCTACATGTCAAAGTAAAAAGAACACAAAGAATCACGACATTATGTTGAAGGCTTCGTTATTAAGTTATTAACGAGCAGACATTGTGGTCAGAAACGTCTGAAACTGGGTGGGCAATCTGCGTAGTAAAAAGTTACGTCAAAATCGGCGTGTATCAGTCACCAGGGTTTCCTTGTAAGTATCTCTTCTTCGGCACTGTCGTCGTTAATGTTTGTAAATGACCTACAGATGTTGGGATTACATTAAGGAAAGATTCATGTCACATGTTTGGCTAAAAAGTAAGGATGTATTGTTTCAAGGAATACCAGGGTACAGTGTGAAGTGACTGTCGTGTCCTACGCTTACCGCTTGTACGAAGTTTGCCTGGTTCCAGGCGTTTCTGACCTGAATTTTTTATTCTTAATAACTTGCAAACGAAGGTTTCAACACAATTTCGTCATTCTTAATTTTTTGTTCATTTTGATATTTCTTAGAATCATAGTTTAAAATTTGTGACACCAATAACCAAATACCTTTCATATTATAAGATATAGAGCAAGTATAGAGCAATGTTTTTTTTTATTTTGTGCATAGTATTAGAATGAATGTATAATTTAATTGATTCCATCTTATAGGAATAAAAAAAAAAAAAGAATCTAACCACTATTGCTGTTGTGAATTTATTCTGATGTTCATTGGTCAATGTTCTGACTCTGTACTAAGTGAAACGACTTCATATAAGTGAATTAGTAAAAAGAATATAAAATTGTGTATCAAAGACACCAAATTTTATTGAATACATTATAGTATTTGATCGGAAAGGGACCAACTATGGTAAAATGACAACAAACACAATCTTATATCTCACATATATATAACTAACTTAACATTAAAATAGTCATTTTTGATATTGTGTACGCATAAAATATTTGTCTTTGTTATGCATTTTATTACTTATACACTTTGGTTTCATTTATACATTTAATTTCATGTACAATATGTATGTGTATATACAAATTGCATTCAAATTTATCACATACAAACAATGTGATAGATTCAAATATAATTTTTTCATTTAATAGAACTTTTAAGGCTTCTAACATTCTAATGGAACGACTATCACATTCATGAAACACTGTAATTTTTTTTATCCTATTGCAATCTTGTGGTAATGATTTATTATATATTTATATTATTATACGTTGTTTTCTGTGAATAAATACAAGTGCAACATTATTATAGGAATGAATTTTTCTACAGCTTTAAGTGGCTTGCGCTAACAATTATTCCTCTGTAACATTAAATAGTATTTATATGTATATGGCAGTGTTTCTGAAACCATTCTTTGCGAAACCACAATATTTAAGTACTTTCAAAAATCTTTTTACAGAGTTCTGTTGACAAATAGGAAATTTGATAACATTTTTGCTTAAAGTATTAGTTAATTATTATTATCTTATAGATGATTGTGTTAAAAATATATCAGTGTAACACAATTCAGTAGATAAACTATAGTCTCAAGCAAATATATCATTTAATTATTTTTATTAATAATTGTATTGTAAAGCTGCCACATGTAAGATCTCTTTACATTTTCTTGTACTGCAATACAATCATAGATATTTGTATAAGAAATAATTATTCTGTTTCTATTCCTTAACTATTACATTTCAAAAATAACTTTATCTTTAAAAATATGTTTATCACCATCTTACAAGATTTTAAATTTCCATTTAATTTGTTAAATTGCCGACAATAACATATTATACTATATTATCTTTCAGTTCATCAATGTATCTGATTATCGTTAGGCTTCCAAGACAAGGGTTACGCATAAAAAGTTTGAGAACCACTGCTGTATGGTATGGCATCACGCGAGGTAGTTACTCAACGTTTACTACACTCTTAAATATACTGCAAGCGAGTCTATTTTTCCTTGTGTACAGAAATCAGTGAAACGCGTTAAAAGATGAAGAAGAGTGAAAATAATATCTTTCAACTCGTTTCTTTTTTTGCACGAAAATGTAATGAAATTTTGAAAGAATAGTAAGGATGCAAAGTTGAATATAGTTTTTGAATTTGCAAATCGATGACAAAATAGTATTTATGTACTTACAGTTTGGTACCAAATAATTAAATAAAATCGAAATTCTAAGTAATATTTGTAATCCTTACTTATTTCAGGACTGTCCCTACGTCACAATCGTAATTTTGTAATAAATTCATACATTGAATTATTGGGATTAATTTCCCTAAGTAAACCGATATGGACCAGTACATATTTTTCATAAATTAAAGATTAAAAATTGCTTGCTATCAGATATGTAAAGAATCTGAAATCATTGAAAAAAATTCCAATTTAAAAGGGAACGCACGATTAAGCGTACCTTTCGCATTTTCCTCATCGCGCCAGACTTGCGTCGTTCGTATCGGCGACGTTGACGCGTGGCGCGAAAATTCAAATAGTCTTAACTAATTCCCATTATTACATAGGATTCGAACATGACGCAATTAAGGATTGTAATTCGTATAATATTTCTTTATCGCGAATACACGTGTAGTGTTGTTAATATATCCTTTCGAATAACACTTCAATTTTATGTACACCGAACAGAGTGTAACGGACGAACCAAATGTACGCGAATTTCGTGTATTGAATACATGGTATTTGACGGAAAGTATGACGTATCAATTTTTCGATTATATGATTGTAAATATTTCTTCAGTTCTACGCTGAAAAATCGCGGACTACATAATTATAGTACACACATTATCGTTCGTGATTCATCATGCGCACTGAACACGTACAGGTATACGGCATATTTCGCAACGATATGTTCAACGTGTTCAAGCTACGGTCTGGTTTCTTTTAAACTTTGAGGACATAATATTTAACAAAAAAAAAGAAAGATACTATTTTACAATTATTTACAATAGGCGCGGTGATTCAGCGACGTAATAAGGATAACACACTTTTCCATGTATTTTCCGTGATATTTTGATTAACTCTTTGATTATGGTGTTCGATGTAACTCTTTTTTCAATTCTTTTTCATCTTAAATGTTTGTTTTTAACGATCGGATTCGATGACGAATTTGAGAAACAGTGATTTAGGAATACTCATAAATTCGTAGACATCGAGTGATATAGTTTCTTCGATTACAGGTGGTTTTTGCTATTTTTTATGTTTAAGATTGTTCTTCATCGACGCGTATTATTTCCTTCGAAAGATTATCACGATGAATCACATTATAACTCTTTCTTGGAATTCAACAAAACTTTCAGCTAGTACGTATAATGTTCTATTAACAATTTCTGTCGAGAAGTATATAATTGGTGAATCACCTTTAAATGTATCTAAGACGTAGTATTCGAAACATTGCAGTTTTAATTGTATGATTAAAAATTCGACGAACAAGATAAATTTTAATTCGAATAACAAGATTTTCATATAATTAATTTCAACTTTTATAGAATTTGTAGGAACGTTCTCTTCGTATGTTCATACATTTCCTTTCGTTAACTTGGTACGCAACGTTAGCAACACTTTTCTAACACCATAAATTGATTTCTTTGAATTTAATTAGATTTCAGCTACAAGACTTGATGGTACGTTAGAGTATCTTCCACCGCAATTTTTGTTTCAATCACTTTAAATAGTCTTTCTGTGATATTCGTATGACATCGAGAATATATAAAGTCTCTGAAATATTATATAGAATCTTTTTATTTGTTTCAAACTTTGTAATTGAGACTTTCTTAAGTGTGAAGATTTACAAAAATATCCTACTTTGCAATCGACGAGTATCCACGGATACCCGAACACAGCGTCTAAAGATCCTAACGAATTGCGCAAAAAATAAAGACTCATATTTGCGTCGTCACATTCATCGAATAAATATCTACATGGCAACCATGCGTTTCTCTTTCACATTCGTGATTTTCTACTTCTTAAAGCAGTCTTATTACCTCACCGAAATCCAAGCTGTTCGTCTCGAAGAATGTTCGTTAAAACACGCTGGACATTAATTCGGCTATATTAATAGTGTATTTCGAAATATATAATGCTTAGATTGTATATTCCGTGGAGTGTTAAGACGAATGAAGCTTTCAACTGCACTCGATTATGCGCTAATTAAGGAAGTTGTATGTCACTTGAAAAGTTGCCTAAACGAGAATTTATGGAGGATGCTCATTATAAGTGACTAAATCATCGCAGCGCGTGTAAGGCTTCGAACTTCACAGATTCTGTTCACAGATCTATTCACACGAAATCGTTTATTGCGGCCAGACGACACGTCGACTGTGTAATTTATAATAGAAGTTGTCTTCGTTCATAAATTATTCTTTCGACGAACGAAATAAAGAGCAAAGGATTTGCCCTCGCGCGACATTTTGTCAGTGAATCGATTTAAAGTGAAAAACGCACTGCAATGACGGACGCGAAAGTTTTTTCTTTCTTTAGTGAGTTCTTCTATTATACACCTGACTAGCGTCACGTTACATTCTCCCGTTTGCTTCGTCTCATGACCGTGATACCGATGGATCCACGGATTTTACGTAACAGATCTATTATGTCCGCCGTCGACATGTCTTTCACGCTCTCGTCGTTCACCTGAAACAAAAAGAAAAGTGATTATTACACTGATTCCTCGATGAATGCGACGCGACCAACGGCGTTATTCCTACCACTGGGGGAATTTCCCTTTGGAACCAATCAGTGAACTCTAAATATACTGTCATGGTCGGGGCTGTATGGGAATAAAATGGCAATGAGTTCAGAGCCCCCTCCATGCTAAGTTCTATCGTCATAGCCTCGGCCTCAGCACTTGCGCAGAAGCTGGATCGTGCTGGTGCGTCGGCGTACGCAACGTGGTGGGGGAGAGCGAAGTTGTGTGCTCGAAAGTACGTGTGAAGGGAAAGTGCCTCGCGTGGCAATATGTTTAGTGGCAATATAGTTAGAGTCCACTGTAAACAGAAGCAGAGGCTCGGCTTCCGGCAAAAAAACAAATCTATGAGGGGCTGAAAACCTTTCCGCCTTGCCATGTATGTTTCGAAATGGACCCGAGTACATAGCACTCATGAAAATATTACTGTATAACGAATACTGTTCCGACCTGTGGATGATCATGCAGGTTTTGGTGAGATTTGCACTTACTGTGCCGACGATTAAAACAATATCGGAGGACCATTCTTCTTCGATGAAGGGACAGTAAATTGAAGTTAATGGTTTATTTTAAAACTCAACAAATAACAAAGATCACTACAAATCTCTGTTTCATTTTCTGATTTGCCGAAATTCTTTGTAGAAATACTCTGTCAAATGTAATTCTATGATAAACTACGTATCTTTTTTTTGTGATTATTTACGTTTGAGATATTGGGAACGATACAGAATAAAGGACTCATGTGATATTTGTAATTTATTTCCAATTGGGGCTTGATTCACTTTTTGTGCTAAGTGTGTAGGTTTATAAGAACTTTCAATAACTATCATCATAAATTCGTGTGTATACGCGATTGTTGAATACGATATAACTAATGAAAGTTAATATTATTCATTATGTTAATGTTAGCTTCCAACTGTTCAAACAGTCTTGACGAATGTAATGAACTTATACTACCAGGAAGCAGACTGTTGGATTTATAAAAACGTGTTTAAAACAAAGGAAGTCACTTGTGCTTCGTTTAATATAATTATACTTGTTTAACGTTGACTGACTGTGTAACTTAATCTTCAACCTGAGCTCAGTCGAATTACTTTATAATGAGGGTTTTACGTTTCGTTGTTCATTACCATAAGAATAAATTTAATTATCTCCGGATAAAATTTCAAGACATGTGATAAAAATTAAGAAGTATTCATTTTTGTTGTGAATCATTACATGTTTCAATTAAAAATGAAGAAGTATTCATTTTGGAAACAATATTAAGAATCCTTTTTCAATGATATCTGAATCACATAACAATGTTTACGTACATCTCGTTATTTTTACGAGTTATAATTAGAACAGGGAAAGTAATGAAATTAAAAATGAGATCGAACGTACCATCAAGAGCACATCTCCTTGTTTCAGCCTTCCATCTTTAGCAGCGACACTGTCGGGATGCACGACCGATATAACTGTATGATTTCCTTCCGGTTGCAAGCTGAATCCTAGTCGGCTATTCCACCCACGTGTCAGCTCTACCATGAACACCTTAAGCGAAAACAGTATTTACAGTTAAAAATAATATATTCATGGCATCAGTAATAATTTAACTATAAAAGGAAACAGTAAACTTTTCACTTTTTGAAAAAACTACTTTATTGCTTATTAATATCATTGCTATTAAGGACGTATTAACAGATTGAATTTTTTAATTTGTTGCAGTGTTTATGGTTGTATTGAATATACACAATTTTTCAACGTGTTTATACTTTCAAGAGATGACTATTTCAAAATTTTCAATAGTTGTTTAAGTAATTACCAAATGTTTTTAAAAGCAATAATTACTTTCTCTGCTTTAATACGCAATTTTCTATATTCCGTACGTATATGTAATTGTTTGTATAGTTCCAAATTCCTCGGTAATAATATATTACAATAATAACATACAGTACATTTTTTATGTACTTGAGTAAAGCTACCAGAATCTTTTCAACTAAATAGGAGTTTCTATTTTTTAATAACAATAATTTTTTTAAACGTCTGATGCTTTACTACACGGTAAACCGATTTATATATTAATCATCTAAAACTGTCTAAACTCAATGTACACAAAAATATTACCTTAAATCTCATTAAGTAATCTAATTGTAATTACAGATATAAAAATACTTATTTAGTAAATATTGGCGTTAAACATGCTACTAGCTGTGTCGATCTGTAAATTTTGGATAGCTATAAAACAATGTGTGGCTCGTTTACTAATTAACGTCCATAAATGATGAAAGAGATTCCATACATTAACACTTCGATGTAATTCGGAGAAGCAATTTCTACCTCAGTTCCTTGTTCAAGTTCTTCGCTGGGGACAGCTGAGTCCGTGGTGTCTTTCCCGACCGTCTCCTCTTCGTTCTCAGCTTTATCTATTCCATCATCCGGAGCGAACATCACGCCTTTCCACTTCAATAAACCCTTGCTACCACCGGGATCCTCTGCCCCCAAGATTTTTCCTGTGTCACATATAAAACGAAGTTAAACCAGACGCGAAATTAATTGCATATCACACTGCGATTAATTATCAACTTTTACATTAAACCTAATTGTCAATGATTTCATTCGATTCGATTATACGTACAGGCTTTCTTTTAATAATCCAAGTGAAGTAACTTTAAGGAAGTACCTTTATCAGGATTAGTTCGTTTTTATTAAATATTATGTTTATAAATAGAATTTTAATAGAGATCCCTGGGCAAGTAGAATTTTCACGCGCATTCGAAGAAACACACGTAGCCAACTGTCTCCGGAACTCGGACCTGTGTTCACTATCCACCTCCACGTCAGTGGCTTTTGTCACGATGAAAGAAAAGCGTTTGGTAGAGTATGGAAAGACTGATTAAATAAGATGCGTGGCGCGGGATAAAAATGTTTAACAATCGCTGAGCGAGCTGTTCATTCGTAGCTACCGCAACTCAGTTCTGCGCAAAATCAAGGTGACTCGATATAGTAGTAACAAGATATTGCACGCTTCAGTATTACTAGACGATAAGATAGTGAAACTTTCGCATATTTTAAATACTCGGCGAATAATATCTATGATATTTCTGATTATTTACTCCTGTTTAATTAAGTCTAAAAAATTAATCGAAAATTAATGGCTTATTGTAATAATATTAAATACATATATTATATGTGTACAGGGTGTCATGTAACTGATGGTACAACTGGGTATGTGGTGATTTTACGTGAAAAAATAGGTCGAAAATATAAAATAGAATATTTTCATTTGAGACTTCGTTTTTGAGAAAACTGACATTGAAAATTTGCTGGATACGCGTGCAATAGAGCTTGGCTAACGCGTCTGTTCATTGCATTCCGTTTCTACTTACTGCCATGTCGCATACACGCGTTCCAGATTAATTTTCAAAATCGTTTCTGTTGAAAACGAAGTCTTAAACGAACAAATTTTATTCTATATTTTCGACTTATTTTGTCACGTAGAATCACCCCATACCCGATTGTATCGCCAATTACATGACACCCTGTATATATTTTTATTCACAGTTTAGTAATGTAATTTCATTTCTTTGGCATAAATGTTGTGTTATTTTTAATCTATAAGAAGTTAGTTGTACACAGAAAATTGTTCTTCTTTTTAAATTCATTTTTAAAGTATGTATAGTATGCTTTTCCTCGCATAAAAAAATGCTATAAAAGACTGAACAAAATGAATTCACATAATTAAAAAATGATTTGGTTAATTCAGTATGTATGAAATTATTTAGGAAGACAGTAAGGAATATTATATTAATGTAACAACACTAAAAATTGTATCAATTCTTACAAAAAGAAATATCAGACTGGAATATGTAGTTATAAATTATTGTCTATTATTTATGTTGTAATAACAATGTAAAATAATATTTATTTTATGCTAAAACGTCAAATTTTTATCCTTAGCGGTATACATGACAGGAAATAATTCATGATACTAAAACAGGAAATATTTACTAAACAGGAACCTTCTATTTTTGAAACAATTGACTGTGAATATTTACAGAGAACGAGTGTAATTCAATAAAGCCTTTTATTATCTACATTATGTTGTTAATATCACAGCTTTTACTGAATTATCACGATATTGCGATAGATTATCAGGAAATTTGCGAATGCGTGTGATAACGATTTTTTAATCGTAATTATCAGATAATATAAAGAATTGAATAGACAGTATAGATTTGTTGATACCTGATTCGCTACAAAGATTATGATAATCAAATGTAATTTTCTATAAGCATAACTAATATTTATTAACATAAGAAGAACTAACATTTTATACAGGCGTTAATCAATTAATAATTCAACTACGTGTGTCTTCACAAAAATACTCAAATTTAGTATTTTAAAAAATCCTACAAAAGAATTCTTAACTATTTTTCGTGCATACTTCTTCTACAGTCGACCAACGTAATTTGAAAATTACAATATGACTGCACATTCGCAAATGCGCTTCTACTCATTGCATGTTGTATTATCATTGTAAATTTCTGGTTAATTAACCAACAATAATAATTGCAGGCCCAACATTGGATATTCGTTGGCAAATTGTCAGAACTTTTTCGTCGTAGGCCCAACATTGGATATTAGTTGGCAAATTGTCATAACATTTTTGTCGTAAGTCCTATTTTGGGAATTTCTACGTAAAAAAAACTCCCAACTGTTGAATACCGTTGGCCAACCATAAATGCTACTAGGGGACCTAATAATTGCAAACGGGGTAGACCGTTAACGAATGTAAAATCAAATAACCTGGTATGTCCTGATCGCTGGAGTGGGTAACCTTAGTTTTCGTCGCGTTGTCGATACCGGCGCCGCAAGCTGGATTGGCGCTCTGATAAGCCGGGTTCTTATAACTGAATGCAGCTGTGCTCAAGGTGCTCGTCGACGAAAGCACGGGCGGCATCGAGGCCGGCTCCGACGGTAGATCGTTGTCGTGCTCCTGGCTGGACAAGACGATCGTCTCTCGCCTCTCGTAATCGGCATCCATTCTCGCGGCTTGCTCTTCCTCATGCCCCTCCTCCTGGGCGACAATCCCGTCACCTCCTGGATACTCGAGATCGGAGTCCAGGCTGCAGAATTGAAAATGAGGCTTCCCCTGGGGCGCCGTTAAGTCGAGGAAACTCGGCCGGGCCGGTGCCATCGAGGAATTGCTGGAATCGCAAACGTCATAGAGCGGTGGCGGATCGATTATGTCGGTTCCAGGTGTGTTCGGTTGGGAATTCGTTATCTGCGTCCTGATCGAGCACTGGTCGGAATCGGATGTCTCCGCCTGGCTGGCCGTCGACATCGTGTGCACGCTCGAATGCTTCTCCAGATCTTCTGCAAGGATTCATATATGTATACATATATGTATCTGTCCTCAAACCTGGAACTCTTTTGGGATTATTCGTGGGTAACGTTCAAAGTTTACATTTTCCTTCTTGTTGACTTTTGAGCGGTTGTAACGTTTATTCCCGTTTGTTATTTGAATGTGAATTCTTTATTTGATTCTTGACTCTTTAACCTTGATCCGTCCCTCATTTTCCTTACTGAATTTGTTCCTCGGCGTCTAATTGCCTCAATGGTAAAAATTAATACAAAGAAGTGATAAATAGTTAAATTTACAAATTCTTTGAAGTAAAAATCACGAAGCCTCAGCTAAATTTATCAACAGATGACGAAATAACGTCATTTCTTAGGAGAATATTGTGTAAAATTGACACAAGGGACGGATTAGGGTTAACTCCCCGTTGCAATGGTGCTAAATTCATTTTAATCCTCAAAGACCACACTATATTATCCTACTAATTCAAAAATACATGGGTTGGTGTAGCCGAGGGCGCTCGTTTCCTTATATCTTACATAGATAAGTAATTCAGTCCAACCGAAAGACACCTGGCATTTTTGAACGGTAAAGGGTGGGAAGTTAGGGCTGTGGTGTGTTGTTAAAGGATTCGTGATTGAATTACTTATGTATTTAAGATATAGGGAAACGAACGCACTCGGTTACACCAACCCATGTGTTTTTGAAGTGGTAAGATAATAGGTCTTTGAGGGTTAAAAGTGCGTCAAATTCTATCGCCGGTTAATATTTTTTGTCAGTAGGATCCGTAGTTTCACTGATGTGAAGCAGATCTCAACATTTTCGGTTGAGAAATTAAAGTATTCTTCACAAAAGGAATTAAAAAAAAATTAAAACAATAGATTGGTTTAATATCGATATTTTCAATTTCAAGATAATAAGATACAACATATATAAGTTTCGTAATTTTGAAATAATGATCTAAGGGTTTAGGTGTAACGTTTTCACGTGATACCTCATTTTTGCTCAGAATCGTGCGTTTTTATAACTCATGTTTTTCAAAAACTGAGGGTGATATAAAAATTCTGCTTCCGGATTTGTGTTTGGGACGAGAAATTCTGCAAGACTCACCCGCTGAATATTGCAAATCAGAGTAAAAATTTCAATTTGTTGGATACTGTAAATCATATAATGCTCTCGAATTTTTAGTATTTTGAACTGTGTAAACATATCAAACTGATTTCTTATTATTTATAATAGAATATAATAATTATTATAAAGGCAATTTGTAATAATATTTGACTGTTAAGATTGAATTATTCTTAATATAGTTGAGTATCGAGTGTTCACATTGTACAGACGGGGCTGAACAGATCTGTGAATTGTTTCTGCAAGGTTTAAATCAGTCACGAATGAAGATTAATTCTTAATCAATTTATGCTCGTTATTGTCGATCGAATTTTTCTTCTTCATATTTATTAATCGAAATTATTGAAATACCTTCATTTTCGGTAGGGGTACGAGTGGCAAGACGACGAAGTCTTCTTGGGGAATTGCAAGACGCTCCGGGGGACTGCTTGCAACTTGAACCGCTAGCATGTCTACTGCTTCTTGTCTGCAAGAATATTTCCGAATTTAACTTTCAAATTGTTATATTACCTTCTGTCGTAGCCGTATTGAACGAGATATCTGAAATATATTGGGAAAGGACAATATGAGGTGGGGCAGAATAGTCTTAATGATTTACAGAAATTTTGCATGATGTCAGTATATTATAATTCAGTTTTTCATTTATTTATTTTCCAGAGTGAAACAAAGGAAGATACGTGTACTTTTATTTTTTTATACAAATTTTTCCATGCTAACGTGAATGCTAAACAACAGCAATTGTGCACAGTCTAATTTAGTTGTAATTTTAAAAATACAACAGAGATTCTATGATCATTTAAAAAGGAAATATATTCCGATTAAACAACTTGTACGTATATCGTGTAACTAGTAATGATTATTATTACGTAGTACAGATTAATAACAAGACATTCAGAATATTTTAAACTTGATATTTAACGCAAATTAAACGTAAAATCGTCTATAACAACACATTCTATACTTATTTGTTTCTTTTAATATATCAAGTCGGTGTACATGAAATGAGCAATTATATTGATATGTATATTTGATGTTACTTTTATGAATGAAAATTATTAATATAGCTTATTAGAAAATTATATTAAAACTCTTTATTAAAAAATTACACACTGTACCCTACTCCTTCAAGGTGTTGTTTAACATAACAATAATATCAATTATGTTACATACTAAAGTTAATTAAAATAGAAAATCAATCTCAGTTAATTGCGGCTATTTCCTCCACATACATCTGAAGATTGACATTTAAGCCTAATTTATAAAGAAACTTTATGAAGATGCATGTAAGTTTCTGTAGAAAACTACTGAAAGATGACAGCTCCAAGTAGATTTGAAGAGTCATCTTCATATTCAGTACAGTGACCATGTCATAAATATAAAATGAATGTAACACCTGTATACAGTCTAAGTCAATATTACTCTGTCTAATAAAATTCGTATAATATGCAATATAAAATCAAGTGCCGCTAATAAAATGATCATTTTATGTGCAACAACCTAATACTTCATGATATAGTAGATATCAACTATTAATTCAAAAGCACACAATATTTTTCAGTCTTGTCGATTCGATTGATTTTGAAGTGCGTGATTATGTTGACTTTCACCATTAAAAAATTTTCATTAATCTTTAAATGTTTCACCCAGGTATTTTTTATCTCATTCAGAACAAACCAAGAGATGAGGATAGCGATTCATCAATCGAGCCGTTCATTCGCCAAACTGAATAACGCTAGAACCACCCACGATAAACGTATATCTATTTCTCTCGCATCGATAAAAATAATAAACTTTTGAAAATATAGAAATTTATAAATTAATTAATTTCTTCATTTTCATATTGCAATAAAAGTTGTGCAAGATACGAGAAAACATATTCTAACATTTTAGTCATCGTTATAAAAGTGTAACCAGTTGTTTTCACTGCTGTGGTAGTTCTAGTGTTACCACCATAAAAATATAAAAATATAAAAAGTTCATCACCAATCAAGTGCTTTGGCACTAAAACTTTAAAAATTCAAAAAGTGGAGTTAGTCACTTTGACCTGCGAACGGCTCAATTTTCAGTCTAGCGAGAGTTCATGCATTTCGAAGCCATCAATCGTAACGGGATTCGAAATGAATTATGCATTAGAACGTGAATTTTTCCTGTCCAACGATGGATAGGGCTTAATCACAGGGTAACGTTTACCTCAAACTTGTTCGTGGTGGACGGAGAGGGTGATCAGGTTCAGTGGGTGACAACGCGGAGACAGGAGTTTGCGCCAGATCCCTGTACAATCGAAGCCTCACTGTGGGTCCACATTGTCGGAGCAATTGAACGGCCTCTTCGTGGCTCATGGGGGACAATGGTGCACCGTCAACGGCGACAATTTTGTCCCCAGGTCGGATCCGACCGTCGCTTAATGCCGGCTCTCGTACTAATGCCCTCACGTAATGACCCAACGCGCTGCTGTCCGCTTTCCTCAAAGTGAAACCCAAACTACCACCGACCTTCGTCATCTCTATGTCGAATTCCTGTGACAGATAGCGAAAGAATTCCGTTCAATGGACAGCTCGGCCATCGATACTGTTCTTGAAAATAGAAATCACTCTACAGGGTGTAACACAACTGTTGGAGGACCCGGAAATGGGTGACTCGTGAGGTTATTTGAAACAAATTTTTCGTTAGTAAAAATGTTATTGCTGGGTTTCTGCGGTAACTCCTTTCTTCAAAAATAGGAAGTCTTTCGAGTTTATTTTTGTTAATATTTTGATTGTACTTAATGAGTATCTTCGTAAATTTATAACATTGAACAATATGTAGCATGTTCTTTATGGTGCAGTGCAATTCGTAAGATTATCAGAATTTGAAATTTATGAATCTGAATAATGCACGTGTCTTGATTAATCCTGACTGATATGATGTATGCAGACACGAGGGATTTGATATACATGCATCAGAAACTATGTGCCGCCTAGGAGATATCGAAATCTAAATTGTAAACGAACTTCGATCAGACTCCGTGTACCTCTCGAGCGTTTCTAGATCCAACGGATAGTGTATTCATTAATCATTGTTTTATGTATACTAGTTGTACCGATGCGTCTACTGGCCAAGAGCACGAAAGAACTGAAATTGTACGTTTTCACTCATCACATGACATGACATTGCATTCGATGGTGATAGCGTGTACAGGTACATTTCTTTACATATCATTACATACAGTTAATTAGATTGATTGTAAGCTCTGAATATAATACATTTGTATTATAATGAAAAGAAATTGAACTGAATTTTCATTAAATTCTTACAGATATAAGAGATAAGATTGTTATATTCTTTAGAAATGATATGCATTAAAAATATTTATTACTGTATACTGTTTGCATTACTTATTAATATTTAATATGCCACCTTATTATGTTAATTCTTTAGTTACTACAGTAGACATTCGTTTCCCGCACTAGTCGGGGCTATAGAGGGCCAGAATTCCGTGCAGGAATCGGTAACCAGTTACCCGAGCTCTTTCCCCACCACTCGGCCGTTCAGTCGTGCGACACAGATATATATAGGGTGGGCTGGATATGCGCACTTTACGGTTACATTAATTATCTCCGTTATTTTTACAGATATCAGAAAAGTTTATTCACCGAAGTTGTTCAGTATGAAGAGGGCTATTACTTAGCAGTAACAAGTTTTTCGTAGATGGAGTATCTTCTAAGTTTTCAAAGTTAATAAAACATAAATTTTTATTAATGATTTTGAAATATTATGGAATAAAATACTCTTATTACATAAATCGATTCTTCCAAACGTTCCGCGTAATAAAGTTTTAAGGTATTATGTGAAAAAGGTAATAATTCGTGATATATTTTAATGGCAAATGTCTAGCTTGGTTAGCATCTTTTACCCATTACGTGTGATCCGTGAGACAAGAACCAATCAAATTGCCACCAATATTCATTGCACCAATAAAAACAGTATTATATACATTTCGTTTTCTGTGATGAGATATGCGTGTTAAACGTGACACCGTATGTGTTCCGGCCTGTGCGTGCTTGGCGACAGAGTAGGGTACGCGCACGTGTGTGAGAAATACGTGTGAGCAAGGGGCGTGGCTTCTGTGCAGATAACGGTAGCGCAGGAACCGAATGTCTACTGTAATATTATTAGGTAAAATATATACAGGGTGTCACGTAGCTGGTAGTACAACCAGCTAGGGGATGATTCTACGTGCAAAAATAAGTCGAAAATATAAAATAAAATTTTTTAATTTGAGACTGCGAAAAAATTGATTTTAAAAATCTATTGGATACACGAGCAATTGAATAGAACTTGGCTAGCGCGTCTTTTCGTTGCATTTTGTTTCTACTTACTACCAAGCCGAATACAACACGCGTTTCAGATTACTTTTCCAAGTCGATTTTCTCGAAAGCGAAATCTCATATGACAAAATTTTATTTTAATCACCCTCTACTCAATTGTACCACCAATTATATGACTCTCTGTATATAAACGTAATTAACTGTTTTGTAAAGAATACATTTTCATATTATTCCCTGTTATAAAGATTTGCAATAATATTCTCTAAAAACGTCATTCAAAATTATATATAAATAAATGATCATTTTTTGAGCATTATTAATTTATATCATTCTGTACCTCAAACGCAAAGTTCCTGTCGTAAATAATTTTTTACAAAAAGAGTTGGAAAGTAATTACTTCATCATTCTGATTACACTATTACTATTGAAATATAACAATTATAATTTCAATATCGTCAACCAACCAAAACAATCAACTAAATTATAACACTAAAATATTAAAATATTATACTTTGCTTCAACAGAGAATTATACTATCGGCTTCCCAGTTAGTTGTCAATAATGGTAGTGCACGTTGTCGATAGTAACACCGTCCTATCTCAATTTCAATCTTTCGATTAACGGCCAAGGGGGTGGAAAATCGAGGAATTCAGTGAATCAGTGATCCAGGAAATTCGGGTATCTAGCGGATCGCAACAAGGAAGGATTCTTGATAAGGGTTACTTACGCCGCAGGGCTCGATTTGAAGTGGCGGCAGGGGGTTGAGTATTCGCAATGGCGGCGGCGGTTCACGGCGTGTCGGGGGCGGCGGCGGTGCACCGGGTGGTGTGACATTCGTATCACCCGGAAGCCGACACACCACTAACTCGACGGTGCTGGGCGTTGTTCGTAGAACTTCGAGGGCCTCCTGCAACAAGTTCCATTGAAATGAGATTAAAAAACCCTCGATCCAATCCGCAAACCGACCGTTCGGACACTTGGATATGGTATTCATAGAATTCAACGAATTTCAGAATTCCTTATGTCTTCTTGAACGATTGGAGTCTTGTCGTTTGAGGTGGGAGTTTGTCGTTGCTTAGATTATGTTTCAAAGATTGAGATGAAAATGAAATGAGAATAAAATTTCGATATTTAGTACTTTGAATGCACACAGCCTAAAAGTTCTTAGAAGTGCACATGGGGGACAAGTGACTCCAAGTGATTCACAATATCTCCTAAATTATGGACTCTTTGAAAAAAGGTGTAAAAAATTTTTTCGCGCGAGGCAACACTAATGCAACGATGAAACTTTTTTATTTTTGATTCGTTGTTAATAAAACTTTTACTAGTATATTGGTGAGATTTTTCTGATTAAAATGATACCAAATATGACATAATTTGGATCATATTACTCATGTAGAAACTGTTAATAATTCATATTAATTCATTATCGATTCTGATAAATCATATGTAAATATGACTCAAATTGCGACGTGTTTAGTATCAATTTAATCAGAAAAATCTCACCAATTTGTTTATAAAAGTTTCATTAATAAAGGATGAAAAATAAAAAAGTTTGATCGTTGCATTAGTATTGTCTCACCGACACCCGGGAATGTAACCTTTTTGTGGGCTCCCAACGTTCAGTCGTCGGCTTGTGAACGGGAAGCCGTCTCGGCGCGCTGCGGCAACAATGTATGCGGTTGCCGAGTTTCACGACCTCCCCCCACAGTGGTGGGGATGACGCCTGGACAATAATCGCATATCAACAAAGAGTCAATAATCGCGAGGACTCTGTACTAATAATAAGAGAGGTATATGTGACAACATGTTTAAAATTCAAGTGACGCAATAAATAGTTCCAGTATTGTAAGTGACGAAGCAACTCTAAACATTTGCTGAAAGATTAAAAATTGTAATTACTTCTTGATATAACTGTTCAGAAAATATTCTTTAAAGTAGTATTAACGGCTTATCTAGTGATGATACACGTCTGTATTCGAAATAAAAAGAGACAAAACAAAGATCCCCATATTCAAATACAAGGAGTAACATCGTAACCCAGTGGAAATGTAGCGAACGTATTATGCAGTCCATCTTGCGTCTACTTTCAACAGTATCTCAAATTATTTACATAATTCACTTCATAATGGAGTTACCGAATTTATGCATCAAGTTTCCAGGTTAACCATCGATGTGTTATCCCACTGCAGAAAGTACGGACAGGCGGTATAACAGTATAAACTGATATTACACCTTGATTCCCGTGGGGGACAAACGGGCAACTACACGCAAGATAGCGTCTATCTTTCCTACGAGTCCCGGATATAGCTGCATTATGCTAATCAAATGTAAATCTCGAAGAGCTACGAGAAGAGAAGCCAGTAGAACCCATCCAAAGCTATAGTAATCGCTATTTTGTCGTAGCCAGCTCATCGCGTTAAGCCGAGTGGACAGAAATGAAGGAAAACGGCTTGAGGCGAAGGGTCAGAAGTCGCTATCTTGTGTAAACGCCAACAGATTCTTAGCCGGAGACTTTAAATACAAATGTCCATGCTCGAAGAACCAACACCTTGTCATACTTTGCGCTACTTAGAAAATTTTAGAGATCTAGGAATTGTACACCTGTTTGTTATGTGCATATATACTATTTTAGAGATGAAGTCATTTTTTTCAATCATAGAGAGTTGTTGAAATATTTTCCTAGGAACAGCGGATCATATTATTTTATGTATGTTATGTATTAAAATTTTTTACATATTTACTTAAAAAAACACATCGATAGCTTTTAATTTCCTTTGCCAAATATACATATGTACTTAGCAATTGTTTTAACTGGGTTTAGATACATTCTTTATATACACACTGTAGCGGCTAAAAATGTTACAACTTTCCTGATTTTTTTATTTGCATTATTTCTTGATATTAACTTAAAACCTTAATATACTGGTTTTTACAGCTTTGAATTCTCTATCAGACAATATATTAATCACAAACTAAAGTTCTAAGTTGACGTTAAAAAATAATAAAAACAAAACGAATCGAAAAAGTGGTAACTTTTTTTGTCCGCTACTGTATACAGGGTGTATGGCTTAAAACAGGTCACCTAAAAATATCTTCTTTATCTGTGATCATACGAGAAATATTTTTTACGTCGTTGAAACGAGGTTTCAAAAGACGAATCGTATGGCAGCAAAAATGTTCTATAAATGTCTTTTTTTAATGGTTTTTTCAAGGTCACCCATGTTTTTTTTACATATTTGGACATAATTTCTCCTATTCTATGTTATAACTAGCATTATTATGCACTTATCCATGTATAATAGTATAACCTTGAAATGACCTTGAACTCTAAAAATTTTAAATTCACTTATATAATTTTTTCCGCCATCAGATTCGCCTCTTGAAACCATTTAAATTAGGTAAAAAATATTTCTTGTATAATCACAGATAGAGTAGATATTTAGGTGGCCTGTTTTAAGCGGAACATCCTGTATATGTATACATCAATTTTATAAAACCGATTTGCTCAAAAACGAAGCCTCGTTTATAAACATTTTATTTTTTAGTTTCCTTTTACTTTTTAAATTGTACAAACTGACAGCCATAAGTCGAATCAGTTTTCAAAATCTTGTGTTGTATCTTCATCTCTCTACAGTGATTGGATTGCATCTAGTTTCTTTAAGTTTACGGATCTCCATCTCCAATCATTGGGTGTTAATAGAAATAATATGGTTCACTTACATAATTAGTCAGGCCGGTTAATGGAATACCGTTAGCTGCAAGAAGAATATCACCAGGTTGAAGTTTGTTGGACAAGGCCGCGGGTTGCTGAGGAAACAGTCTTTTCACTCTAACTGGTCCAGCGGTTCCACCACCGGAAACGCTCAAACCGAGTCCTCGGCTGCTTTTCTGCAAGGTTACTCGGAACGTACTCTCTGAAAATTGTACAAAGTACATTAGTCAGGACACTGTTTCTTGGAAAATCATGGTATTTGTTTGAAAATTTCTGTTGGAAAACTTTGCTACAGATTATTTGAAGATTGCGAAGTCGCAACTGTACATTTCCAAAAGATTGCAATGTTTTTTTTAAATAAAATTTCATATAGAATATTGCTTTCTGTTCGCTATGTAAACTATTCTTTGTTTACTAAAAGTCACTCCTTTTTCCATAATTTATAATAATTAACACAATACACAAATTAGATGTAGGTTGTACATAATGACTGAGATCAGTTATATAGAATGTGGCAAAGAAGTTGAGTAAGAGAAAATGTTCATACGAATATATAGCGTGTCTCACTTTTCACGAACATAAAAATGATTTCTGTTTGTATTGAAAGTAAGAAAAAATTACTACGAAGGATTTATAAAATTTTTATAAAAAGTCGCACTATAAAAACAAAAGGTAATTGCAAAAAAATGTTAACGACCTTGAAATAATCTTCAAGATGATCTTGGGAGGACATTCTCATCATTATCAGACACATGTCTTGATGGTGGTGGTTCAGAATGGAGTTTTCAATGGTTTCAGAAAAGGAATATCGTACATGGAAGATTTTTTCAAACTTTTTTTAGGTTGCCAGTATGTTTTGGCCAGATAGTATGTACTTTTTTTATTGCATTATGTAGTACGTGTTTAGGTGCATTCAAATATGTCTAACTTATGACCTTGAGGTGAACTTGAAAATTGAAAAAATAAAGAAATTTTGAAAATAATGTTAGGATGGCATGTGAACATACTTTTGTATGTACGTCTGAAATCATTCAAATTGTGTATGAAACATTTCCCATATAATTAAAAATAAAGAAGACCAATTAGGTGTTCGATCTTAGGTAGGACACCCTGTATATTGTTAACTACATATTAGCTTCTTAATAGAGATTTAATTATATGTTACGGACAATCGTTACGGTTAAAAGCTTGAAAGTATCTATTTGTGCTAAATAAAAATTTTAATCCAGAGATAAAATCCAAATCTAAATGATATGACACAAGATAAAATTAAATTAATCCAAGATTTCTTTTAAAAATCTCTATCATTACCTTTATAAGTTGGCAGATAACATACCGTTTAATTTTTCAGTAAACAATTGAGACTCGTTCGTTTTAAAGTGAATAAGTTTAGATAAGACTTACAGAATCTACAAGAGTAATCTCGATAAAGAATACGTATTTAACCATTATGCTTCAAACTTGGTCCAACAATAAGCTAAACTGAAATTAAATAAATATACTTATACATGTATGTGAACTACTGGTGTCAAATTAATTTACAACTTTCTCTCATAAAAAACACTATTCAAAATTAAAGAGCTCGAATTAAATTGACCACAGGTCACGAGGCTTAACAATTCATAACTATTTAGTAAATACACTTCGGGCACTATACAAAGTAATAATTTGTTTTATGTTAATTTTGGTGTGAAGACAGAATTGGACGCTTGCCATCTTCAAACCAAACGATCCCGATCGAGTGTTCGATTTTCTTCAATTTCAATCGTTTATTTAAGCTGAGTGGAACCAAGCAGGAGCAAAAAAAAAACGGGTGAATCAGTTGTTTACGTTTCAAAGATAGAACGTGGTACGTTGTTGGAACGTCCAAAAGAAGTGGCGGCGTTTTTTTTTTTTTTGGTTGCGTGGATTTTTCCAAAATTGTAGTCGGTTTGTAATTTACGAGGCCTGTTGGTGTGACGCATGACGTAATACGCGGGAATTGTGCTGGGGACGCGGGACAATTACTTTCTACCCGTTATCCTATGCAGTGTCACTGCGCCCGCTGCATATTTCGGTCATTGCAGTAACTTTCACGCCGCGCGGCGTCACCCTGTTGGTCACAATTCTGACGGTGACGGCGATATAAAAATATATTTTCCGTCGGAAATACAAATAAAACCTGAATGGTACTTTTATTGCGCAACCCTGAATCGTCTCTGCTGAAATAAAGGTCAACTGATGTACCATGCAAAACTTAAAAATGGACACAAGCATATTGTGTTCTTAACAATGAGATCCAAAAATACAAATTTGTTAAAAGATGTTGTGTTTTTTAGGTTGAATATATTATTCGTATTTAAAATTGACATTATTAAACTTAGTATGTAAATAGTGACTTAATGACAATATAAATTGTGTGATACAGGGGAGGTATGCAATATGTATTTTCGTTTAGTAACGTTATTGTTTTAAGACTGGATTTCAAAATTTTGTATCACTTGTGATGTGAATACAATTTAAAAAAATGTCTAATTCTGTACTATTCCTTCTTTTATCTTTCCATGTTGTGTGATATGAGGGAGATATGTTATATGTACTTTAGGAGAGGCGTTGAAAATATATGTATAAGTGGAAAAAAGAATAGGTTTTTAGCACGATTAAAACCTGCGAATTTATGTTTTCGCTTGTGTGAGTACTTCTGGAATAGCATCGAGTAAACTTTTACCAACTACTATTTATCTTCCTACTGTGGAAAATTCTTTAGCATATACATATACTGCTGTTTCTAAAAAAGAACGTACCTATTATTACTACAAACACGGTTTTTACCTTAAAGGAATTATATGTATATTATATTATCCCTTTCATTATTATCATATATATATTTTTAAGATATATATTATATGTATATACGATTAATTCTGAACATATCAAAAAAAATTTCAGTAACTTTATTCAGGTACCTTGAAAAGTTATAATACGTAAATGGTACCTGAGTAGCTGAAAATATGTTTTGTGTCATTCCTTTAACCCTTGTGCATTAATCGGGTCAATTTGACTCGAAGTCAATGTTTGATTTTTAATTATATTTTTCACTGCAGAAACTTGTAAATTACTTTTACCTTATTAGTTCACATACATTATAATCTACCAATAGGCAAATATATTTCCTTAATTCGATTTTACTTCAGGTCCAATTTCATTCAAGAAATAATAATGAAATATTTTATTGGCCAGTGCATGAGGGTTTAAGAATATACAATTTTGAATCCTTATACTTTATTTATAATTTTGATCCAGTTTCTACGAATATCTATGAATATTTCCATATCTACGTATGCATGAACTTCGACCGAGTGCTGGAAAGACCAGATTGAGGCAACCGTTAAAATTGGCCACTGCAATGGCCGCAATTCGAACCATTTTTTTTTTACGTGTTCGTGAACTTAGTATGGAACGAGCACCAGTTTGAAATAACTCGTCTTTTACCGGATATTGACCCGATCCAGACGACATATCGCGCGCATTGTTCACTTCGTTCGCCATTCAGATCCGTCCCTCTCCTCGTCACGTTATTGTTCAGGACCGCGCGGTGTCGATCTTTCCAAAAGGGTCAACCATTGTTGGAATTGTTTCGAAATCGTGGATTTCCTGAACGTGGTCCTGGTGATCGTACTCTGAACGTTTCCCGGAGTTTAAGGATCGATATTACCGTCAATCACAATTGGCGAATAAATTGGAACAGACAGATAATTGCGTACTTTGATCGAGCTTTTGAAAAAAACTTCAGATTCGAAGACTTGTCTGATCAATTTCATTAGGTTTTTTACTGTACGTCGAAAGTAAATATGTTATAAATGAAGATTTCTCTCTAAAAGGATGCCGGAATATTTCTAAAATTTACACCGTGTATCTATCAAGAGTATTTGAACACAGCCACGTTTTTAAAATGATATTTTTGATTCTTAAATTCTGTGACACTCATTTTTGTCATTTTATTCTGTTTGATGTCATAGTAAACTGGTACACACAGTGCTTTTTTATCTGTTTTATGTAAATATTCTGTTTTATCTGTTTTTTTTGTTATATGTAAATATTCTTCACGTCTGTCTGTTAATAACTTTTTTATCCATCGTGCATAATATAGTTCTTATTTTTGTGACATTTTATTGTGAGTGATGAATTGAAATATTTGTTCATGACTTCTTTATTAATCTGGAGTGCAAGTAGATCGCGAAATCGGATCTGAGGCTTTCTGAAGCTATAAAGGGGTAAAAGTTTGAGAATTCAGAGTTAGGAAGATAATATATAATACATGGAGAAATGGAGGGCATTTTGTGCGAAGAATAAACGATCAGTAAAACTCCTGTACAGAGGTCCATTCATAATTCCGAACTTAGAACGGAACATTAAGTTGTTTTGTTATTTTCAGTGAAAACAGATACATAGGTTTTTCATTATGTTGTAGTAGATATGCAACAGATATAATATCAATTAGAATTTTTTATTACAAAAAATAGTGAAGTTAATCTACATTTCGATCGTTTAATCGATAATATTTATAGAATATTACATGCGTATACAAATGGTAGATATCAGCTATATTTTATTGCAAATAATCAAATTTTTTATAATGTACTGTATATGTATATTTAAATTCAAGTTTTAACCTCGTGTGCAAATAAACAAAATATTTATACATGCACTGACAGACTAGGTCATAGTCATGGAAAATGAATAAAAATCAATATATGAAAGATAATACCAGTCTTCCTCTTCTAATAAAGACGCTCATTTAAAATATCTCATTTTTGGACCACTTTACGTCAATACTGTTTTACGTAGAATGTTAGAAGGATTCGATCTGTGTAAAATAAATATACATTTCGATTTCAAAAACATAATGCAATTGTTAAATGCACACGCATCGTTGCATTTGCAAACAATACATGGCCCTTGAAGTGTTGTACCTACTTTTTGAATCATTCATCTTTTCCCTCCAACATTTTTTTTTAATTGCACTGAGAATAGAGGTATGACTTGATTAGTCGCGTTGACCATTCTGTATACTACATTACGGTAACAATATGTATCGTGGATTAAGAAAGCAGAATTCGCGAACAGCGTGAAATCGCATTTCGTTCTGTGGTCCCGCAGTTATTTGAATAGGTTATATTTCCATAGTTTCGGAATGTTAACCAGAATGTCCATTTTATCGCA